GGCGGCGTGCGCAGCGGAGGCCGGCCGCTGTTCGTGAGAGCCCCGAGAACGGGGCCGACGGGCGGGACTATGATTTCTTTTTTATTCTTGACCGTCTACGATACTGTACGCGATCTCGCGCCGCACAACAGCAGCACGTCTTGAAATCAGGGTTTCGCGGAGTTCCGTGAAACCGCGACATAGGTCAGGCGTGTGTGTGCATACTGCAGTTTGTTCGCGAGGGAAAAGATCAAGAGAAAAAAAAGAGCAGCAAGAAAACCTGTTTTCGTACTCGGCGTCTCACCCCCGTCAGCCGCATCCATCTTCGAGCCATTATGCATACAGAGGGAAAGCGGCGAGTGATCGTCACCGAGCACACGCGGTCTTCGAGGCGCGTGCGAAATCCCGCCGACGCGGCCTCGTCGTCGACCGGCTCATTCGTCAAGGCGCCCGTCGCTATTCTTCGTCATGATTAGCGATACTCTATCCAAAACAAGGCTTCCGCGCGCACGGAATGGTGACTTACGCCTGACTTGGCATCCGCCTGGCGGCGACCCCGCAGTAAGTAGTCGACGCCGCTGTATACACACACCGCAGCGGCTGCGCCGAGACGAGCTGCCACGAATGTTTTACGCGGATTGCGGCATTGTCTGCTGCTCGCTATGCCTCTCCGGGTACGCGTTTGCGCGCGCCGAAAAAAGAAAACAGAAGGAAAGCTAGTTTCGCTTCTCTAAGCTGCATATTGCTTGCATCGCGCTGTGACCATGAAGGGATCGAGTCTGTACACTGTATGCGGTGCTGGTAGGCGCTGCCGTGCAACAAGCAAACGTCGTTAATCTGTTTCCACTGTTCACTCTAACACTCGGGACATAACAGATGAATATTCGCACGGTTCGTGGAACGTGTGGTATTAACCTGACGTTGCTCATCGCCTATAAGAAACTATGCAGTTTTTTTTTTGTGCGCCGGTCACGTGGTGATAATCAGCCAGGCAGCAAAAGATAATCTTTGTGTTTTCACGTCCCAAAACTACGATATTGTGGACATTCGTTGTGCGCTTATTCTCATACACGGATTATCTTAATCATCATCCGTCTGGGTCCCTGTCCTCATCTTCACTGGGTGTCACCACAATCATCATCGTGTGTGTGCTATGCTCGGTCTCAGACTGCCCGTTCGCTGCTGAGCCCTTGGCTGAATAAATGCTGTCTCAACCCAGTTGTCTTACGTGGTAGAGGGTCTTCTCATAATATGATTATGAGAGACGCAGCAGTGGAGGGTCTCGGAAATGTGGACTATCTGCTGTTCTTTAACGTGCCCTGACATCGCACAGTCCACGGGCCTCTACCATTTCGCCTCCATCGAAATGCGACCGCCGTGGTCGAACCCGTGACCTTCGCGTCCGCAGCCGAGCACTCTTGCCACTGATCCACTGATGATGATGATATGTGGGGCCTAACGTCCCAAAATCACCATATGCTTATGAGAGACGCCGTAGTGGAGGGCTCCGCAAATTTCGACCACCTGGGGTTCTTTAACGTGCACGCAAATCACACGGGCTTAGAGCATTTTCGCCTCTATCGAAAATGCAGCCGTTGCAGCCGGGATGCGAACCCGCGACCAGCGGGTCAGCAGCCGAGTATTTTAGCCACTAGACCACCGCGGCGGCGCACTGATCCACTGAGGCGGCAGACATTGCGGAACCTGACAATAAGGACTGGTTCCCGTCGTTTGTCAGAGACAACCTCGCAGTTGCATGACACAGCTATTCTAATTGACCACTGATGCGGTAAAAAAAAATCATGTTCGCATTCGGTCTAAGCCGCGGGCGTAGCGAGAGGGGTCGCGGGAACTATCACGGTGTACCACAGCGACCGCAAAGCTGGCGCAAGTATTCACTTCCGCGTGAACGGGATGAACTTTTGTGAAAACTTATCGTTCTGTGATGACGTCATGAAACGACGTAATCATGACGTCACAGATGCGCCACGCTTGTGACGTCATCACATGAAATGGTCCCTTGGTAAAAGATGTGGTGATCACGGAGGCCATGCCAAACCACGTAAAGTGCACAAAGCTTTCGGAGGGTGAAGGCAGGGGAGTATTGGTTCATCAAGTGAGGAAAAAACAAAGAACAAGATGGTTTACGCTTTAGAAGCTTCTTAGACAAATGAATTTAAGGGACCCTGAGACTTCTAATTACGCGATCTATCTATTTTAACAACCTACGCCTCACAACCTTGGCCAATCTCTCGCTGCCTTTTGGCATTGTGATCTTGTCGGTCGAAGCGAACGCCCTTGACTCCCGAGTTCTTCACAGCACCAGAAGAGGCTCATACATATATGGACATTGTCAGAAGTGTACGGTATGGCTAAATAGCATATTGAAAATCAAACTTTTGACTCTCCAAAGTGAAAGAATTTAAGTTTTCAGCAGAGGCTCTGTGATGAAGAACTCAATGCTAAATGGGGATAAAGTTTGAAAGGGCTGGCGATATTTGCCTCCAAGAAATGACGGATTATAAATTAATATGCTGCCATTTCTTTCAGCCCCAAGTGGGCGAAGCAAGCGTGTAGATCCAAAAACCAATTGGGCTTAAAAGCCGTCTCGGAGAGATTAATATGCAAGCAATAGATATAGTCGGGACAAGGTAGGATGATTGATGGAGAATGATTGGAGCAGACACCGTTAAGGGTAGCAGTGGCATTTTTTGTTTTTTCGTGTAGGATATATATATATATATATATATATATATATATATATATATATATATATATATATATATATATATATATATATATACTGAGGGTCTGTCCAGTACCTGCTGCCGGAGCATTTTTTTCAATTAGGCACCTTATTAGTGCAACGTTACAAGCGCCGCTTTGAAGGCTGCTTAACTTAAGCGGGCTACACCTGCGTGTAGAGATATTCTTGGGTAGTCTGTCCGCCCGTTACAACTTCTCTGAAAAATATCTACACGAGCAAGGACCTTGCCGGTAATATGCCTGGAGGTCGACTTTGCTGCTGACAAGTGAGTCGTGCGGAGAAAGACGCACAGTGGCATTAAAGGCATACTAAAGAGAAACAATGACTTGGTTTAGATTGAAAACCCGCACTCCGAGATTTATAATGCCGTAAGTTTCACTATCATGAGTTTATTATGAGCGGATAAAATCTAGGTTGAAGTTTTATTGTTAAATACCGTGCCAAAATCTCCGAATGTGACGTCAAAAATTTTACAATATATTTTTTTTATTTTCGTGACATTGGCTCGATGAAATTTTTGGAAACTTCGTATGATAGGTCCATGACATGTACTTTATCTTAATCGATTAGATGCTACGTGGGACTCAGTAGACGTTTTCAAAATTTATTTTATTTATTTATTCAAAATACCTTACAGGCCCACTGAAGGGCATTGAGTAAAGGGGGCATCAGTATACAAACGAAATAACAATAAAAGAGAAAAGCAGACGAAAAAATATATACATATATAAAAGTTTACAAAAATCAAGGTGCAACAGCGTTATACATTACTAGAGTGCAATGAAATCAGGTTGTCACGAAAAATTTCACGGTTACAAATGAGTACAACATGATCCGGAACGCCGTTCCAATATGCAATGGCTCGAGGTAGTGATGATAATGACGTCATTAATCTCAAGGTGGCGTATGAATTTTCTCTTCGAGCGTTTTCTCGCTTTCGAAGCGTCATCTCAGGGTAATTCGGGATTGCGAAGGTGTACTTTGCTAATACATGAAAAATCGTTTTTGTCTTTATTGTCTTTTTAGGACGCCGAGATGAATGGCGAGCACGGCCGTCGCAGCACGCGTTCTCCTTCGAAAGGAAGCGTCAACAGTAGTTGCATGCATTGATTCAGACCTAAAATCAAAGTTATTCTGCATTTTTCTCTCGCAGAATGAAAGAGGGGGGGGGGGGGTTGTGCAAGGGTCAAAGAAAAGTTTGATTGATTGATATGTGGGGTTTAACGTCCCAAACCACCATATGATTATGAGAGACGCCGTAGTGGAGGGCTCCGGAAATTTCGACCACCTGGGGTTCTTTAACGTGCACCCAAATCTGAGCACACGGGCCTACAACATTTCCGCCTCCATCGGAAATGCAGCCGCCGCAGCCGGGATTCGAACCCGCGACCTGCGGGTCAGCAGCCGAGTACCTTAGCCACTAGACGGTCAGAGAAAAGTGCTGTTGCATTAGCAGATCGACGAGGCCACATTTTCTTTGGCATTGAAATATGCAAAACACACACGCTGAGCATCTGGACATTGTTATAACTGAACGCTGGTCAGTGACATAGCGCTGTAAGTTTGGCGTTCAGTCTTTTCGCGTGGTCGGCGGCTTTCTACAGCAATTGCTCGCGGATCAAACAAGCGCACGGACTTATGGATGATAAATGACTCAATTATGATCAACTTGTTAATTCTCACGAGTTACAGAAACCACAGGTATTGCCACTGAATGTGGTGATTAACAAGTCACCCGACGTCGTATCTATTCATAGTGTCGCGCTGCTAAGATCGAGGGCGCGGGTTCAATTCCTGGCCTTGGTGGTCACACTCCTGCTCATTTACTGCTCATTTCCTTAGATTTCGATGCGTCTTAAGCAAATCCAGGTGGTCGAAATTAATTAGGAGTATCGCTGCACTACAGTGTGCCGCATTATCATATCTCGGTTTTGACGTGAGAAACTTCGGAATTGATTTTAGTAACTAATCGAACTATAATAGTCAGTATCGCTACGCAAGCGACACGAGAAGCGCGCAATAAGGAAGCGCACTGACGCAAGTACGCCATCATCCAAATGTCGCTGGCTTGAAATGATGGCGGCTAACGAATGGCGTTGACCATTCCTTTCACGGCATCAGTCGATTTTCTCGAGCAAATGAACCGTGCCCTACCGTCGCTGCCAGTGAGATCATGCGGTGGACTATATATACATGCTTGCACTTGTTCTGGGAAGCGTGTGCCAAGCCCTTTTGTGCGGTCGCTTTTGTGCAGGAGTTGGATGGACCCGAAGCTGATGCTGTCCGCCTCGCCGGACACCAACTTTAGTCCCAAGATCTCCGGCATTCCTTGCGTCGCCGCGGCGTCTCGCTACACGGCGCCCGTGCACATCGATGTCGGGGGCACCATCTACACCTCGTCGCTGGAGACGCTCACAAAGTACGTTTTCTGTTTTCCTTCGTGATGACAGACCGCTGCGGTCTGTCATCTACTACAGGGAACTAACTGTCTCCGAAACCTCATGGCGAACGAAGAAAATTTAGTTACGTACCGTGGCAGGTTTTTTTTAGGAGAAGCGGAAGCACAAATCAGGAGTATATGTGCACCTATCAACTATGTCAAGCTATTTAAAAAAAATTAAGAAAACGAACAGCTCCCATTTAGTGTGCGAAAGAGTGATGAAAGCTAGAAGGAAGGAAAATATCTTTATTGTGATGTAACTGAGTTGTAAAACACTTGTCATTCACTTGTCATTTTTTCGTTTTTCTTGTTTTTTTTTCTTTAGTAAGTCTTATGTGTTTGGTTGATTTTTTTACGTATCATGGGTGCTCATGATCCAAACTATCCTGCTAAATCTCGCAGTATCTTTTGTTTGTTTGTTTGTTTGTTTGTTTGTTTGTTTGTTTGTTTGTTTGTTTGTTTGTTTGTATATAACGCTGTGTGTGTAAAATAACACTCCATATTTTTATCAGTTTTTTTCGTTCGCTTCGTTTTTCTTTCTGTTTTCTCTGCCTTTGCACTTTGCATTCCCGAGTAAATATTCCCGAGTGTGTGTACGCATGCATCAAAATGCTATTGACAAAAGCAACGTACAGTACAGGATAGTTGTAGCAGTCATGGCGACACAGTATGTCAAAGTAACAAGAATGGCGAAACGCGTCGAGAGAGAAGGGCGCTATACGACAGCTCTGGTAGCGTGAGGAGAAAATGGTGGCACCGCCCGCGTTTGAACTGAGAGAGCGGGGTTTTTATCTCTCCTCCACTCGTGACAGGCAATCTCATCACAGGCCGCCGTAGACGGCAGACGGGGTCACAAACTTTCGTCGGAGTGAAGGGTCGCCTCTGGTCAGCTCGGACAGATGAGTTCGATTACGTGCAGTGGAACGTTTGAACCGGCTTTGACAAACGAGCGATCATCAGGGCAGAGTTCAGGGTCGCCCGAGAATTATCAATGAATAGCTCAGGCCACTGCGAAGTAAGAGCAAAAACAGTCGCGCCTGGTCGCTCCGGGGCGAAGCCGCATACCATGTCTTCCATTCTGCATTAACACGAGGCAAATAAAAAAAGTGGGCTTGCTTTCGCGGCGATGGTGGCAGCCCCTCGAACTCGGCAGCCCCCAGGGCGAGCCGCAGAGGCCAACCGCATTCATTAACAGCAGCGCAGCTCCGATTGCCGCGGGCGAAGCGGCCGTCGCCCGCCAGGACCGGATTAGGAGATGTCTCCGCGGGGTGTCTCCACCAGCGCCGCTTTGATCCCGCGGCGGCTGGGACCGCGAGGTGTTCTCAACCCCGGCCCACATTTCCTTCCGGTGACCGTATACCGGTGCCGCTGTGTATGCCCCCTGTCTGACTCGTCCGTGCCTCGGAGCTTGCAAGACGCGGTTCACGTTTCACAATAGATTCGACAGAGGCGAAGCTGTCGTAACCGCCGGCAGCGCAGTACGAAAAAAATTTTTTTTCTTCGAAAGAAATAACATTGTTCTTTCATCCGGTCTCCTTTTTTTTAATTCTGTCTTTCTTTATTTACCATGTGGGCGTGTTTCTCTTCCTTCCACGTGTTCCCGCCCTGTAGCGCTTCCCCCAGATGCAAATTATGCGCGAGGCATTGGCCGCTTGCACAACAGCCGGGTACGCTTGTCGACCGCGCGTACACTTCCTGTGTGCTGGCTTCAGCGGGATCATTTGGACTTCGCATAAAGGACGGGCCTCATGCTTATCGCGATGGAGAACTTGTGAGCTGATCTTGAGTTAGGAAATTTGGTGATTGAGAAGGTGGGCGGGTTTTCGTTCCGTGGGAATGTAAGATCGGTGCCAAATGTGAATCTCAATCTAAAGAGGACAGGCTCGTATATATGGAAATCACGCGCCGAAGTTCAGACAGTTGGCGGATGTAGGTGTAGTGCTTCCTGATTCTAAATATTTTCGGCTACTGATTGAATGATCTCGCACGTTTGTGTATCAAAGCAACATGGGTGATCGTGGGGCTGAAGTCAATCCTGAAATATTTGGATCACTGTAGGTTCTTTGTTGTGCAGGTAAGCTCTTTATGTACGCAGGTACGCTGTTGTGCAGCACGAGATCTTTTTCCGCATATTCCTTATTTAAATTATTTAAACCATCAATGTATTCAAAAATCCTGAACGCCGTATATCTCTTGTCACAATCCCTTGAGCTTTCACGGGCTTCGTGCTTTTAACATGGCACATTAAATGGTCGTACTGCGCGCAGCCCGTACTGGAGGTGCGTTCAGTATTTTGATCTCGTATACATTGCTAACGAGCTATTGTACAGGGCTACCGTGCTATCTCAGACTACAGTTACTTTAGCGACGAGGGTGCTTAATCGAACCCGCAGCTTAGCACTTTTTTTTTATGTTACAGTGCGCATGCATGCGTAGATGTGGCATCTGACGGCTAATGCGTGAACGACTAAACTGAGTTGCAATCCTCCAGCAGCACTTGAACCTGGCTCCTAATTCTCTTTTTCGTTCTCTTTGCTGACGATTTTTACAGAATTTATTTAGCACTAATCGTTTGGCACCGTTCCAATGCGTAAGGGTTGATTCTACGCAATGCCATCGCCTCGAGGTATACCATTTTTCTCCATTCAAGCGCTTTCTCTGTGATTACCGATTTCACCGAAGAGCCACGCGATCCCAACATCAGACGTGATAATAGCCTCGCTATCATCACGCTGCGTCAAATCGACGCGCAGACTTCACACGACTCGCCGAAGATGCGTTGTAAATGCGCGCCCATATGGATGCCCGTTTCGAGCGCCCTTCAGGGGCGCGGATCGAGCAGCCAGCAGCAGCAGCCTGGTGGCGCGTGCTGGGCAGCAGCAGACCGCCCATCTTTGAAAGGCTGCAATCAGCCGCGGTGCTCCGAAAGCGGTCATGATCGCTCGCGCGCGCACCCTGTCGCGGGCCGCGCTCTCTTTCACGCACAGCCACCTCCGACGAAGAGCGCCGACTTTGTGCGGCCGGTTGCCGAGGCAATTTCCTTCGCCACCTGACAACCGTGTCCCGACGGGTGAGCCAGTCGTCACCTTGCCCCGCTCCTGGCTGTATAGAATGTAACTTCCTATACGACAAAATAAAGCGCGAGCACGCGTTGCGTGTGCGGGAGATTAGAAAGCGTATATTTCTCTCCACTAATGGCGCACCTTTTTATGTCGATATAGCTTTAGATGCGAAGCAGCTTAGGGTCGAACTCAATCCAGGGTGCGGCGTGGCCACCCATTCTGCGAGTCCGCTCCCCCCTTTTTTTTTTCACCTACGCTGCCCCTCTTTCACTTCGCAAGGCCGACGCAGGAAACGTCTGCTACCCTACACTCGCTCTCACCTCTCTCACCTCTCTCTCCACGCGGCAGTTACCCCTACATTTCGCATCTCTTCTACGCTGCCCCCTCTCTCGCCTCGCAACGCCGACGCAAGCAGTGTCTGCTAGCAAGTTTCTTGATTGAAAGACCGACTGCTCGCGCTGCACATCCGTTCAACAAGCAACCCCGCATACGTAGGCACTGAATCTAGGTTGATTATCATCGTCATCATCATCACCATCATCATCATCATCATCATGACTACGTTCACTGCTGGACAAAGGCCTCTCCCATGTTCTGCATATATCACCCTACATATCAACCTAGATGTCGGAACATCTTGGTTGATATGTGGTGTTTAATCCCAAAACCACCATACGATTATGAGAGACGCCGTAGTGGAGGGCTCCGGAAATTACGACCACCTGGGGTTCTTTAACGTGCACCCAAATCTGAGCACACGGGCCTACAACATTTCCACCTCCATCAGAAATGCAGCCGCCGCAGTCGGGATTAAATCCCGTGACCTGCGGGTCAGCAGCCGAGTACCTTGGCCACCAAACCACCGCGGCGGGGCTAGGCACTGAATTTTGGCATTCAAGGTAGTGCCGGTAGAAGGTTTCTCCTGTGTGTTGTTAAACAATAAAAAAATCGCAGCCTGTGCGTCAACTAAAAGCGGACTGCGGGTTTCTCTGTCCAACCGGAGTGTTCTGTCTCTCATTGCCCATTAGCAGCGATTTACATGTTCTAGAAGGAAACAGCGGCCCATCACTGCGTGCTTTGCGCCTCCCCAGGTTTCTATCTTGGGTGACACCGCAATGAGCGCTAGCGTCAGCGTCGCTGTCAGTGTAAGCGTTAGTTCCCGCTGCTTCACATGTAGCGGGGGATGGTGTAACGTTTTTTTTTTTTTTTTTTTAAGAAGGAGAGGGACAAGACTAAGGAGAACAGAAATGCCCTTTATTAGCCAGGGCTGAGCCCCGGTAGGCTACCCTGCACTGAGGAAGAGGAAGAAAAGTTGGATGAGAGGAAAGTCACGTTTGCCGCTGACGTAACAGTTTCGCGTTTGGTATCATGGACGTTGAATCAACCCGGTGTCTTTAAAAAAAACGCAGTAGCCTGTTTGTTGCCTTGCAGAACTACGATGGGGAGTCTCGTAGTCCAGCTGGCCTTTCTATTTAGTGGTCTTCTGAAGCATGTCCTTCGTGTTAATCGAAGAAACGTATACCGTGTATGTTTAGGGGCATTTTGTCTCCATTCCTTGTCATTTCTGAAGCCTGGAAAGTTCTCAGAAGGCGATCGAAGCCCGGTGAGCTGAAGTGATCTGTCACGCACGCTTCCTGTGGCGTGTATGCACGGCAGCCTTGACATCTTGAGATACGGGCCACACGCCTCGGGCAGGGTCGTAGCGCTGCAATTGAGCGGTTCGAATGATCGACGACAAGGCGACTGGCATGCCCGCGTGGCAGAGACGGGTGCGGTCAATCTCTGATCATCGCGCGAGCTGGGTCCGTCGCTGCAGGCGCCGGCTTCCGTCGTGCGCCGCCGTTGTACGCAGCGCGGCAGCTCGACTGCGTGTCTCAAGGGCGCACAGGGCACGTGACGTTGCAATCGCCGCGCCTTGAGTGTTGAACGCCGAGAGACCACTTCGCTATGTAGCTACGAGCACGAAATATTCGTTGCGACAATAGTCTCCTTTCGCGAGCATTATCGCCTGGTTTGCACATAGACGTCCGTGCAAGTGGAGTTGATAAATGTTAAAATAGACGTTATGCTGCTTCTTCCATGACTGCTGGACGTGGTTTGTTCTAAACCCACTGCCTCATAGCGATCGCCCATTGGGTATGGCAACCACCGCTCCATCGCAGGAAATTGACAGTTGTGATCTACAGCCCGTTACGGCGGTTCAGTCTCTCTTCTGATCTCCTCATTACTCTCATGCTCAATCTAATCTTTTATTCATAATTACGGGGCTTAACTCGCGCGTAACCCTTTTTTGAAACTATACCAATTCAAACTCCGTTGCGGCCCAAATCATGTTTTCCCCGAAGCGCCGTCGCAGTGATACGTGGTATCACACCTAAGGCATTGCCAGCTAATTTGAGGGCTACACGCGCCAGTTCGAAAAGCGCGCCATCCGCCGCAGTCGGGTGCTGCATGCGGCCGCATCTGTGAACGCTTTGCACCAGGCTAATTACTTAATAGGCGTCCTATTGCGCGCGCAACCTCCGGCAGCCCGGCGAGATTAATGGCGGCCATTTTGCTTGTCTCACCATTCCTCGGCGGGATCCACGTGTCCGGCCGGCGCCCTGAGACGCGCCCGAGGCGCGCCAGTGTGGTTGGGGTGCCCCTTCGCGCGGGAGAAATTTCGTGATGATGACCGGGGCCATCGGAAGATGACTTTCCGCGACTCCACGGGTGCGAGCTCTCCAGCGGACGTTTCCATCGACGAGGCCAGCGTGACGAATGCAGTGTGAAAGCGTAGAATGAAAGTAATGCAATCTTCAACGCAACGACAGCGCTGCGTTTTTTCGCCTTTCCGTTCGCGTGCGCTGTTTTTGTTCCAACTGACCATGCACCGTGACCAGCCCAACAACGAAAGACGTACAGTTCATTTCTACAACAGGCCTCCTATCACTTACGTGTGTTCGGGACTTTCCATTCCATTTCCTCTAATGAATGCACACTTGCAATTTGCGATCAATAGAGTCAACTTCCTGTGACGTCCTCGTTAGTGTTCGCTGATTTTGATCTAATGACTTTGTATACATAAATGGCAATATCCCCCGAAGCCTTTCCGGGTTCTCTTCAGTCCATGTCTGTGTCGTGCGTGACTAACACGGAGAAGAGCGAGTGATGCTTGGGTGGCACTCAGCTTCCACTTGGTCGCCTTTGAGAGTGAGCGCTTTCACGCCACTCATTGCTAACTTGTAGGAGGACGGAAGTAGACAATACTGCTTCCTTTCAAATGTCGCGCCAACTAGCTCCATAATGCATTTGACTTGAGTTCACTCATTGCTAGTTCATCGTTCATGAATAACGTGCTGAGTAACTAAGTGCTGAAACGGGCTTCCCATCGAGAGACTTCCTCGAAGTTGCGCATCTGAGCAGTAGGCTATTAAAATAGCTCCGTCCAAGGAGTTACAATAGAATTATCGTAAACGTATGAGTGGTCGTGTGATTTACCTGCAGCAAAACAGATAGTTAAGCTAGTTGGTTTGCGTTGATATAGGAACAGCGCCAAGACAAAGCACAAAGAAAGACTAGACAGCACGAGAGCTGACACAATTCGTCCAGTCGGGGGTGCGGTTTGCCGCTGAACGGGGGAAAGCGCTCCTGTGGTGCATTCGGTTGGGCGAGGTATGGTTGCTTTTTTCTTATTTGAGTGTAACAGAAAAAGAAAGGAAAGGAAGAACAACACATGCGCACGCAACCTATTCTGCACGTGAAAAAAACTACACACGTATGTCTTCCTTAAGTAACTCACAATCAAGTATAACTCAATCGATGGTGCGCTAACACACGCGTCATTATTTTCGCAAATGGCAAAGGCTTTAGCTATCTCTCTATATAATGCGAGGATCCGTGTGTCTATAAACGGCGGTCAGACTGCAGAATTATCTAAAGGGGGCGCCGTTCTCCCACTTGTCTGCCCACTGTGCCGTCTGCGGTTGCATTCCAGAATTCTTCCGCGTGACCACCGTTTATAGACACAAGGACTCTCACACATAAGAGAAATAGCTGAAGCTGATTTGATTGATGGGGTTTAACGTCCCAACTCCACCATATGATTATGAGAGATGCCGTAGTGGAATGCTCCGGAAATTTCTACCTACTGGGGTTCTTTAACGTGCACCCAAATCTGAGCACATGGGCCTACAGAATTTTTCGCCGCCATCGAAAATGCGGCCGCCGCTGCTGCGATTCGATCCCGCGACCTACGGGTCAGCAGCCGAGTACCTTGGCCACTAGACCACCACGGCGGGGCAGATAGATCAAGCCTTTGCTATCTGCAAAATTGGTGACCTTACAAAATCACTATCGTTTTTGACATATTGCAGTGTGACGTCGTGGAGAGACAGAAACTCGTAAAAGGTCTGTCATCCGTTCGTGGGGCACGACGAATGAATTACTGCCAAGTGGCCCTGAGAGTGATTTCTGTGATGTATATATGCTGCATGCCTGCATGCAGGACCCACTGTGTTTGCAAACTTCGTGGAACTGCGTTGACTGGTTGGGATTAATGTTCATAGTGGTTCATATGCTGCGACGAAAAAATTAGCATTGTAGTAAAATGTTTTGTACGTGTTGCCGGCAGCAGTGCGTGGAGAGTGTCAGCGTTGCATGCCGAGGAAACCAAAAAAGGTGTCCCTCTTACGGTGTCTCAAAACCACGTCACTACTCCTTCAAGCCACCAGGTTGTACGCGACTGACCTGTCCTGCGTACAACTTCCTCTCGTATGCGCACATGTTTCCGTCTTCTCCTTACTCGTTTGAGATAAACACCACTCACAATAAAGCGTTAGATGTACTTTACCACAAAAACCTGCATAAACTTTCCGGTAGCCGCCACGGTGGTCTGTACTAGTTCTGTTACTCGTCTGCCGACCCGCAGATCGTGGAATCGAGTTCCGGTCGCGGCGGCCGTATTTTCGATGGACGCGAAAATACCCGAGGCCCGAGCGCTTAGATTTAGGTGAACGTTACAGAACCTCGGGTGGTCGAAATTTCCGGAGCCCTCCACTACGGCATCTATCATAATCATGCTTTGCACGTTAATCGCCATCAATCATTACTATAAATGTTCTCGCTTTTTCGCTAGCTTTTAATAAAAATCAATTTATGTGTAATTTGTACGCTGTGTACGTTCAACCAGAAATCTTGAAACAACGTTCTTCCAGGCTAAAAAAAGTTTAACTGAAAAACGTCAGGCCTGCGCGAAAAACACGCCACAGTCGCAGCGAAAGCTGGAGGAGCGGCCTCTCTATAGAGGCTTGTGGGGTTTACAGCAAGTAATGTTGCAAGGAAGCGGGTGAACCGACCCTAACGGAGAGATAACAAGGCTTCGGTATTCATTTTGGAAGTAATTCGGTGCCGTAATGAAGTCCAATCGGTGCTTCAGAGCATCTGTGCAGCGATGAATCCACAATATTGGAAAGTTTACGGGTACAAATGCTTCAACTGCACACGTGGATATCCAGCATGCTGAGCAACGCAAAATTGAGTGGAGGTGTCCCAGTCGATATTACTGCGAACAGGTGTCAAACACGAGCCCCGTTTTTTTTTTTTCATCAGTCCATTTTCAACGCTTCCTGACGCTTAGCACATCGTGTTACTGGGTACCGCAGTATAGTTGACTATATATACTGACAATTGTTCTCTTCCGTAATCTCCAAAAACACCCTAAATTAATACGCTGGGACCAAACGAAAAATGAAAACGCGTCCAGATTTTGTGTTCTGCCTTGCGGCTTTTATTGTTTTGACGCGTGCGGCTGATGAACGCGGCACTAATGTGCCGTGCTGTCGTTCCCATGCTCTACTATTGCGAAAAGCGACGTGGGTAGCCGTCTCTCGAGGCTAACGCTTCCCAAGTCTCACGTTTGTTCGTTTCAAGCTTCTCGTTTAAACATCATCGCGTCACAGGGCGAAACTAGTGTCGCAAACTATCTCGCCCCTTTTATTTTCTTTTTCTGTGCCTCTTTTGCTAGAGCGAAGTCCTTTTTAATAGCCATCTGGCGTCTCACGCGGTCCGCAGAAGAGGAGTGGCAAGCGCGCTCGATGCATGCTGAGCGGGGCCATACCGAATTCTCGTGCGCCGTTTAACGTCTTGTTTTTTGTTCTTAGGGTAAATCGCTGCTGCGACTCATTAATAGAGCTTGCTAATTTGGACTCATGGCAAGGCCAGCAGCATCGTGTGTAAGGCGGCGCTTCCCATGCACCCGCTCATTACGCGATCGTCGACGCGCCAGTCCCTAGCGGAATTCGCTGCTCCGAACGGCAGCATCCCCCCTGAACCCCGTGGGAACGGCAGAGCCCGCCTTGGTCAGACTCTCTCGAGAATGCCCAGCGGTGACACAGCCCCCCATTTCAGATACAAAAGCCGTCAGTGAACGAGCAGGGGCCCTCAGCGAGACTAGCACAGCCGGCATTGTCGTCTAGCTATGAAGCAGTAAAGTTCGTGATATAGTACATCGGTTTGCCGCTGCGCAGAGTCATGCAAAAGCGGCAATCAATGACCTAACATGAAGCATAAAACAATTAAGAGATGTGATGCTGCGTGTGTATTCGTTGTCCGCAAAGTTGGATGATTGTCTGCAAGGTTGGATGATAAAAATTGAGCGTTCCGCGATCGTGTCCGTGAATGAGTTTGTAGACAATCCTGTTTTTCATTGCATTTTAGTAGGCGTAGCCTTTTTTTCCTCCTTGAGGAGGTAGGAGATGTGAGTAATAATGAACGTATACTCCTTGCGCTTGCAGGCACCCGGAGTCCCGACTGGCGCGCATGTTCAACGGCAGCATCCCAATCGTGTTGGACAGTCTGAAGCAGCACTACTTCATCGACCGGGACGGCAAGATGTTCCGGCACGTGCTCAACTTCCTGCGCACCAACACGCTGGCCGTGCCGGACAACTTCGCCGAGCTCGAGCTGTTGTACGAGGAGGCACGCTACTACGACATCCCGGCTCTGACGCGGCAGCTGGAGGCGCTGCGCGCCCAGCGGCAGCGGCGCGCCGCCCAGCAGCAGCCGCCGGGCGGTGCCGTGGCCAGCACGACGAGCACGTCGCCGTCGCAGCTGAGCCCGGCGTCGGCACAGCCCAGGCGGCCCGACCAGACGAACCACTGCGACGGCCTGGTGGCACCCTCGGAACCAGACGCCGAGCGCTTCCAGGACTCGGCCTTCCAGTGCCTGGCGCTCAACATCAGCCCCGAGATGGGCGAGCGCATCGTGATCAGCGGCGAGCGGTCGCTCGTCGAGCACGTCTTCCCCGAGATCTCGCAGGCACTGATGGACGTGCGCAGTGGAGTCGCCTGGAACCAGGACACCAAGCACGTGATCCGGTTCCCGCTCAACGGCTACTGCAAGCTCAACTCGCTGCAGACCATCACGAGGCTGCTGAATGCCGGCTTCCGCGTGATGGCCTCCAACGGCGGCGGGGTTGAAGGACAGCAGTTCAGCGAGTACCTCTTTGTGCGCAAGAACCTGCCCGCCTGACGAGTGCGCGAAAGAACGGGGACGCTGCCGCCGGCCGGCGCCCCGGCCTAGTGAACTGTTCCGATGGCTTTTACTTTCTACCCGCGCCTGAAAAAAAGAAAGGGGTTCTCGTGGGAGCGGTGTGCCTCTCTGTGCCACACACATACACACACACACATACGCACCCTGGCCGCTCTTCGCGGGCTTGGGGTGCACGCGCTCTATAATACATGCTTCATCGCTGGAACACATGCCTGTGTATCTTCGCTGTCATATGGCGGGCCACTCTGCAATAAAGATCTCAGACCGCATCACCTGGATTCGCAAGTGGTATGCATCGGAGGTGAGCCTCCCGGAAAGTGGCGCGGGTAGGGCACCTTAATGAGGTACATTTTCACCTGCTATTAAGTATATGTACTCATTGCATCTGTGTACATAAATAAAATGGCGGTTGTAAAGATGTATGAGCGGACTTGGTTTGAAAAAAAACACGAGCAATTATATTCTTCACATGGCACCATTATTTCGGGTGTGACGCAGTACAAAGCCAGTATTATGGCTTTGTGCTCCGCTTAGTCAAACCCCTCAAATCTCAAGAGGAAAAGTCGACAGAATGGGAGACTGTGAACATACCGAGAACAGCTGCAGACTCAATGCAACATTTTAAATTGCCGCTGTTCGAAGGACTTCTGTACAGCAGACCTATTTCATGATTGTAAACCCATCGTCATACTAAGGCGCTTGTAGCAACGTCATGGCACGCGTGCTCCGCGCGGCCCACAGCTCGCCACCGCCCTCTATAATCCCTTGACAACTGGCATAATAGCTGCAAAGTTGCCTTTGAGCAGAGTGCAAAGCTACCTCCGACGCGCTGTGCTCAGAAGCAGCTTTGCAGCTGTTATGCCCGTTTTCAAATGAGCAAGCAGCCCGCGCGCTGTGATGTCGATACAAGCACTTCAGTATGGCGACGGCGCCTACAAACATAGAATAAATAGGTCCATAAGATTGTATCGTCGCATGTCATGTGCCAGGTTACATAGTGCTTCTGTGGGGTGGAAGTAAACTTGAAATGTATCATTCCTCCAGTTAATAATTTTCCGGATAATGATTTTCTAGTTCTAAACAATCACTGGAACATCAACGCCTTTTTCCCCACCATTGTGTTCGGGAGAGGGTTGCTAAGGGAACATCCCAGCTGTTCGCGTTACTTCATTACTGATATGCCATTCCATGGTTGGGACATGCGCCACATAACGCTTACAAGTATACCTGCTTAATAACTAACGCCTCATTCAGATTTGCCACTAGTAATGTCTCGCTTTCTCAAGCAGTCTGGCTGACGTGACGGAATTTCGCTATCTATACCACCAAGCGATAAGTGAGTTCCCACATTCTACGGTGTTTGCAAGGAGAAATGTTTTGGGAAACCAGCAGCAACCTAGCCACCTGTATAGTGTTAGCCGTCGGCTGAAGCTTGATCTGCGGTGGAGCGGACGAAAAATGCTGGTGAAAGATGATGAGCCATATTCGGCGAAGTGAGATACAGGGCAACCTTCTAGGTATTTTGCATTTTGAGTGTGCGCATTGCAGAATTTCCCCGCTCTTATTGAACGGCCATTGGGGTCCGGTGCTGCGGCTCATGTGAAACGATTAGGATATCGTATGGTCTTTTCTTTTACCGCATTCTTGCCGCCAGTGTTAGCTCTACATTAGCTGTGACCTGTCCCCGTGCTGGCAACGTCGATGGAGTAGTAAGACGCGCGGTTCTTTTAAAGTCGGACGCGAGAGCAACATTATGATGGAGGCCTGAGCGGAATCCCTGACCGGCTACGCAACGTTGACCTGCAAAAACGGAGAAAGGCTTGAGCGGGTGAGCATAAACTTAGTGTTCTAATGGGCATGACCGCCAAAAATACTTGGGAAGCTCAAATGTATCCATGTTATAGAGAACACTTTCGTGCGGGAATTCGGCGCCATGCCCTTCTCGATGAATCACGGCGGCTACAAGTTTATAACGTCTGGCCAATTAAGGTTAAGGAACTTTTTGGGCTAAGGTTGATTGTTTAGCTTCGACACAAGCTCTTAAACGGAGAGGCGCCACACACGCGTTCCGTACCCAGACGTATGTCATGAGTCTCGCACTCTGGAATGAGAACGACCGATGATATGTAGGTACCAAAGAGCGGGGCACAGGCGCTGGGGAAGGAGGATGAACTCTTGCGAGGCTTCTTGCTTACACAAAGGACAAACGATTTATTTACATATTTACAGAACTTGATAGGCGACCAGACGCGCCTTTACATGATCAACGCCACGATACACGACTGGCCGTAACGAAGGCCAGAGAGAGAGAGAGAGCGGTTTGGGGTGGTGCTCGCTCTACTTTTTAGTGTAGAGCGAGCACCGCCCCTAACCGTAATCCGCGCCGCAGATGCGCGTTACCTTCTTTGATGGCGGTTGTTAATTTCACTTATGTGTGGCTCGAATACGTGAGAATGGCTTCGATGGTGACTCGGCTGCACTTGGTATTTCCGTCGGTGTCTCGCAATAATCACATTCTTGGAGTTGACATACGATGTAGTGGAGGGTCCCAAAAAGTTTGATCATCTGGTGTTCTTTAACGTGCACCCAAATAGAAGTGCACGGGCCTCCAGTATTTTGCTTCCCTCGGATGATGTCCGCCGTGGCGGCCGGGATTCGATCCCGCGACCTTCGAGCACCATAACCACTAGACTAACGGTATGTATAGCAGTGTCTTGTCGATAAAATTGAATAGTCGCGGGTCACCCTTGCCTTATTTCGCGAGCTTTTTTGTGCCTCAACCGGAGTGTATAATACGGTAAAAAAGAGGTCTCAGTGGTGAACGTAATAGCGGTACAATTATTTTGGCTACAGCATAACGCTGTTGACGATCAACATGTGCATTCTGAGACGGCCAGTTGATCGTATCTATGAACCTGGTATACAGTTACTGCGGTTCGCTTCTATATGGCCAGCACATAAATATGCGGAGCAACGGCCTGAAAGTTCAATACAGAGCTATATACTTCTCGCTAATTATGGCACGCATTCCTATCGTATATATGAGAGTATATATGCTTGACAGCATATTCCTTAACTGATTTGGAATATTCGTACACAAAATCTGCTAGGCAGCACATAATATGAATAGTTTAGTCGGCATACTATACGCTTGCCGATAGAAAACTAAAGTAGAATACCAACATATCTAGCTGGAAGTATCGTGACGGAGTTGATTCATCTTGTAGAGGGCTGGTTGCGTGTACGCAAATGTATGAGATCTAACAGGGTAAATGCATTCATTCATGTGACTAATTCCTAATCTTCACAATTATCGTACGAGTTTTGGCGTCAGCGACAGCTGTAAATGTGTGCCAGTAATGATTATGGCTCTGCGCTGAATTCCCCTCAGAAGTGGTCATCGCTGCAATGCCTCACGTATGCATCCATGATTTCACTCAATGCATGACACTGCGCGAAAGAACGCGTGGAAAATCAACATGGACGCTAAAAGTATTTCGCACGTGGGCACGCGTAACGTGTGGTGGTCGGCGCTTTGTCGTAATGCCTGTGCTATAAGCTGCATTCATTTTTTTTTTTTGACGCTGTGCGCAGAACAGTGCGCACCCTTTGACAGTATCGTCACTGCATCCAAAAAAAGCTAAGTGGCCAAACTACTTTATAGAGCGCTCCAAAAAACACGGTTGTCGTTTATGAAATATATTAATGATAACACTGTTCTTTATTCACTTTACCGTCTACAACGTTTCCGGGAGACTTTAGACTGTGGAGTCCAGCGTGTTAAAAGCGATATAGCTTATTGCGACAAAATTCGTAGGGTGGAACTCTAGATAAATTACTTACACGAGCAGTTTCTTTTTCTCTTATTACTTTTTTCGCTTCATCCAAATGGTGTCGCCACTGCTGATATTGAACCCACATGGAGACCTTGAAGATCAGCAGCACGGAGACCATGGCCACTGGTCTAACGCGGCGAGCAACCGGAACATAAGTTGCAACACACGCGGTGTCCAAGATATCACCCAGAATTATTTAAAAGAAAGAGGAACGTCGTTAGCTTAACACACATCGAGGGCATATTGTTCACAGTACACTGGGAACAATATGCTACGACGTCCAAGTGGCTCACGTTCCGACACGAAAGCTCCGAGGCCGTCTTACAAATGTCAAAGATAAGTTGGACAGACATGATTTTCCCGGCGTGGTGTATAAAATTCCCTGCAAAGACTGTGAATACGGATACATTGGCGAAACGGGCAATTACAAAAGAAGGCTTCGGGAACATTTCAATGACGTCAAGAACAAGAAAGTAGCTTCTAATGCCCTCGCAGAACATGTTGCGTTTACTGGGCACGCTATCGACTTGGATAAAGCCTGCATCATTGCCACGGAAAGAAAGTTGTTACCACGATTGCACATAGAATCTCTGGCCATTCAAACTACTGCGCTTACGTTGAACAGAAATATTGGGACACTCCCCCCTGTTTACGCGCGATGTCTGCAACACGTGATGAAACATGCATAAGAAGAGCGCACTACGCCATTTGCCGTCACTGTGAACAAGGCTCCGGTGTGGGGAGCCGAAACGTCTCTAAGTTTTTGTGTATTTCACCTTGGTCGGCGTTTTTGTTCTTTTGCACTATGTTTGTCCCCGACCAGACGGGATTCCATCGGACTCTTGACAAAATATGAATGACGCATAAAAACAAGATCACTGTGAGGTAGCAAACATAACACTACGCTCCCACCTTTTTCGGGTGGGAGGGTATAGTTACGTGTTAATCTTCATATTTCGGATGCTTTCTTTACCACCTAGTACGGTAAAATGAGCACGTCATCAGTACGTTGCTGAAAATAGCGCAGTTAGATGTCATTTTAGCATGCTTACATGTGCGTCATTGACATCTTAATGATTACGTGAGCACTTGTCGACTTAGAAGCATAATTATGACTGATCAACTAAACCTCATTAACCCAAATTAACATTAGTGGCTAATACAGTATACAGGGAACAATATTCACAAAGTGTACTTCGCGTGACGGCGCTCCTCTTTTTGTTAATCATACTGAATGACATTTGGGACACCCTGTATAGAACACTCGTGTTTGAGAGGGGTTTCAAAACTAAATTGGTAGGAAAGAAGGTTATCCGCGTGGCGTCACTGATGACACCAGGATTAGTTACCATCTATAGAGTAGTTACTATCAGTAGCGATCTTTTGAGGCACCCGCATGCAGGACACCCGCGAGTGAGGCGAGAGGCGAGTTAAGTATGGCACTGACTGGTAGAGTGCGTGCTTAAGGTATCGCAACGGGATTGCCAGCAGTGAAGCGGAAATTCGAGTGGAAGCAACGAGCCACAACTCGAAGATGTCCCGAGGCCTTCCTGGAGCGACTGCACGCGCGCCGTCTGCGTGGAGGA